GTTACTTAATACAATTAAAGAATCATACTAACTCAAATTAACAATAATCTCATTTACCTGCTCCTATGCTGAAATGCAATCTGAAGAGAAACCCACATGTAGGGTAAAAAAAAGAGTCTGCATACAATTCAGGTCAGTGCTTACCTCTGGGTTTCAGTAGCACGAAGTGACCAGGAGTATTTCTACTCCCCCCTGGATGGCATACTAATCCATCGCAGGGATACCCCCCACCATTAAACTCGCCAGTACCCATCTATACACTTGGGTGAAGAGAGGCACTGTGAAAGTATAGTGTTTCGCCCAAGATCAGCCAGGGCTTGATCCAGGACCGCTTGATCCAGTGTCAAGTACACTAATTATTAGCCCACCATGCCTCTTACACCAAAATGTCCTTGTTATTAATTCACAGGAATGGACACTTGACATGAAACATTTAAGTTATCCTTGACTTGGTGATCCTCTTCCCAGCACTGTTTTACTTGGCATTACAGTCAACTCTCATTTTAGCGGACACGCTCAGGGAGGTCGTTTAGTGTCCATGATAGCAAGAGTCCATAATAGCGGGGTGTGAGATTAAAAGTGCCCTTAACATGGAATAAATAACATAGACAATCTCTATGATTAGCAAGGACTACTGAGCAGACAAAAAAAGAATTAATGTGAAAATAAACATTCCAGAAGTCTTCTGAAGTGTATTTTGACAAAAGATGAACAGCAGACTATAATTTTACGTAATTATGTTATATGAGAAGTACATGGTGTGTGCTTTATCGAAAGACAAAAGAATGAAATTGTCATTTTGGTACCATGAAAGTGTACATAATTCCCTAATAGTGAGAGTCCGTAATAGCAGGAGTCATTTCCAGTCAAACCTCTATAGCTTTTGCCAGGGATCTGGATTTTGCCCATGATAGCGAGTGTCCATAATAGCTTGGTGTCCACAAGGCAAGAGTTGACTGTAGTACCCCTTGAACCAAAAACTATGCTCTAATAAGTCTGTAAGTCAGGACCTGAAGTAGTAACATCCGGCCTTTGTAATGCCTTAGTTTACAAATGAAGCATAAATTGTTTCTCTCATATCTCTCTGAATTATTTTTCACCATGACTACCTCAACAAGTTTCTACAGATATACTTCCTTTACAAAATTTCTTGAGGAGAAGCTCACACATTTCTCTATTTTAACTGCATTAATTAAGCTAACTGACTAACTACCTTCCTGTTCAGCTTTCTTCTCAACCTTCATGCTTCTAGTTCTAGTCATCCTCTCAGCTTAAAAATTTCACAAAAAAAGTTTCTTTAGGGTCACATCAATGATCAAATCTGGTCTCCTTAGTTAATAACCCTTTCTTATTTAATGTTAACTGATGGATTAATTTGATTGACCAATCAATGTATGTTTGTGATCATAGAGTGATTTTTTTGTATGACTGTGAATTTTTTGCATGCACATGAATAAACAAACTAGAATTGAGTATTGTGAAAAAGAAATGCAAATGAAATTAAACAAAATTTGCAAATTTTGTGGCTTTGCAACTAAAATAAAGGCAATTTTGTTTCAAACAAAAAAAATCATTAATAGAACTAGATTCTTTGAAAACCAAGAAAACTATAATTGTTTCTTCTGATGAGAAATTAGTTTTATGAAATTTTGTTTGGCTTCATAAAACTTTCCAACAGAAGTTCGCAGTACCTTGCAAAATTCCATTCTAAAATTCACTTCAGGTCTTCGAAAATTTTTTAGAAAGTTCATTTGAAAACAGTTTATTCCAGCCTGATAAAATTTCCCCTGCATTATTTACATGTTTTGAGTGCCTGTTGTATAGACTGTAAGGGAAATAACACTATAAAAAAAAAGTTTGCTAGAGACTTGTAGATGGTTTATTTATTTATGCAAGAGACAAGGTCTACTGTAAAGGCTGGTTTCCGTACGATCACTATGACCACAGCAATTGCTATGATAGCTCAGGAAATGTTCAGCAATTGAAGAATATACAGCTCACCTAATTCTTCCTCTTCTTCTTCAACCTCCTTTTCTTCATCTTTCTTCTCATCATATACAGGCTCTTTCAGGGCTTCTTGATCAACAAACTAGTAAGAACAAAAATCAACCACAATTACTGTACGTCAACCACTGTCCTGAGTATCAAACAAAATCAACCAATGCTTTCGATCCAGATGGCAAAAAGTTGATGACAAGTGACAGCCATGTACTTGTGAATCATAAGAAAGATAACAAACATTTTGAGTAGTTGGTTTGAGGCAAACAAAAAAACATATTCCTCCATTCAAAAGTATCTTGACAGGCTATCATTAATTGCAAAAGCTAAAAACAACTACACAGACTAATTAAGTTTGCAAGTTTAATTACATTATTAGACTTTATAACTTGCACAAAATACTCTCTCCTGTTCTGAAACATCTAGTTGTGTTTCTATGAAGTTATGTGATAGCAAAATAGAGACATAAGGAATCAAGCAACTTGGTTGAGAAACTTTTAAACATCAATATGAAAGTCTTCAATAGTGATAGACTTTTATGTCTTAATCAGAGCATATATTTTGATATCAGATGGCTTAACTGCTTCCAAGAAATGTCCCTAAAACTCAATATTAATACTATACAGATTCAGAAGAATTAAGGCTTTACAGTTTGAATTATATAGCATTGTGCAGACCAATAGATAAAGGGCAACAGCAGCATTTTTTCCTATGGACCTTATTAATAACTACTTACTGGAACTCTTTCACCCTTTCCATCTAAGACTTTGTGTTCTTTCTCCAGTTCATTACGTATAGTCTTCACCAATAAAGGGCAATTGCATCCTCTCACAGCATTTACCAGAATACCGCCCTAATAACACACAAAAAAATGTAACTA